AAAAAAAAAAAAAAAGAGGAAAGTGTGAATCACGTTGGGTACCGGGTCCTCTCCCGCCCAAAGGATGTTTTGGAGCAGTAAGAAACAGGGGAAAGGTCAGGATGGGTTCCTGGACACTAGGCCCGAGGCAGGTCAGCCCGTGGGGTTGTTCTGACAGACATCAGGCGAAGGCTTTGCCCACAAACCGCAGATTCCAGAGGCCCCCAAAGGGGCTTTTGAGCCTGCTCTGCCCAGGCTGGCTGACAGGCAGCCAGCGGGTCCTTGCCATCTCCAGGCCTCTGTCTGGACCGGGAGGCCGATCCATCTCTGGGGCTCCGGCCCTGCTGAACTTCTAGACACACAGGCGATGTTCAAGCTTGGCCCCCCTCATCCTGGGGATGCCAGTTTCAAACTTGTGTCGCGTGTAGCCTGCTGGGCAGACAGGCGGTTGCAGCCCAGGCACCTCAAGCAGAGGGAAGCCGCACCTTTCATGTTGCTGGGTGGGTGAGGAAGGAAGGGGAACCGAATCGCAGGGCCCTCTCTGGGAGGGCCTGCCCTGAGTGAATGGGAAGACAGTCAAGGACAGGGGTTAGCTGGAGGGGAAGTGTGGGAACAGCGTGGACGACTGAGACGGTTCCACGTCCCCTGAGAGGTCAGGATTCTGCCTCCCCCAGAAGCAGAGTGACAGGAAGGTCACGCAGAGTCAAAGCACTGGCTGTGGGGCCTGCCAACCTGGTTACCATCCTCTGTTGCTTCTAAGCTGTGTGGTATCTGACAAGTTACTTTCTCTCTCTGAACCTCCCTTCCCCTAATCGTTAAGAGCCTTATAGTGTGGCACTAAGCAGATAATGGGGAGGAGACGCTTTCCGACCTCTGGATGGGGTGGACCTGCGAGGCTGACACAGTTGGACATAGATGGCTGCTGCTGGCATAAGGGAGAGCCGTGTGAGGTTGCACCTTCCTGCAGACTCTCAGGGGGCCAGCCCCCTGCCCCACGGGCCTGTCCTACCACCCATGGCCAGAAACACCGTCCTCTGGGAAAGAAACCAGCACTGCCCCTCTCAGAGACCCTCTCCAGTAGGTATATAAAACAAAGGGATAAGAATGTATATTAAACGACTATTTTATTTACACACCCTATCCATAAATAGTTGAATCCTTTTTGACTGCACGATGATTCCTCAGAAGAGCTCCTAGATTACACCGAGTGACTAAACATAGGTTAGTAGCCGTACATCTGAATGTGACCAAGTTCTCACATATGCGCACACACACAGGCACACACCACAGGGGAGGCCGGCTGGCTTCCTGGGCCTCTGGGCTCCCAGCACCAGTGGGGGCCCCGGTGGGAAAACTGCGCCCCATACACAGGTGTGAATTTGTGACAGCTGGAGAACAAAGAGACACAACCCAGGGAGCTCCCGCCCCGCCCCTCGGAGCTGCTCTCCTTTGTTCATCCTGGAAGGCATCTCTTTGGATTTGCAAATATTTTAATTCACAGAAACTCAAGAAGGGGGTTGGGTGGGGGGCTGGGTGGCTACTGGCCGTCCCTCGGTCTGCTTCCAGGCCTTTTCCAGCCCCCGTAAGTGGCAACAGCATTCTAGAGACATGCAGCGGTGTGCTAGTACCATACACACAACACAAACTGGACGCGGCCTGCCGGGGTGACCCGCTGGTCGGCGGGGGCCTCGGCTCCTCCAAGTCTGGGCTCTGGCGGAGAGCAGGGTGCAGCTGGTCCGCTCACAGGGTCCGCACGGCCACGGGGTAGAGGAGGGATAAGTGCTCGGCCCCTTTGATGGGCAGCTTCCTGGTGGTGTAGTAGTGGATGACTTCCGGGACAGTGTCGAACGGGGGGCTGTTCTGACCCAGAACATATTTCTCTTTGGTTTTGGCCAGTTTCATGTGCATAAAGCCCTGGTTGCTCCTGTGGACAAAACAGAGGTTGTTAGCATCTGCAGGGTGACAAAGGCCAAGCAGGAAAAGGGGACAGATGTGGGAGGGACAAGGGGCTCAGAGAGCCACTCAACTCTGCCCTGAACGAGGGCACGCCAGCTCGTCATCCTCATTATTCCAGAGAACGCTCTGACTGAATTCTTGGCCATGAAGCAGTTACAAGTTGGACGTCTCCAAGCCAGGACCAGCTGAAATGTAGCTGCACCCCCAATTCCATCACCACACTAGGCACCAGCAGCAAACACTGCTGCAGGAGCATCCTTAACCTGGACCGCTTCTAGGAATCTTCTCAGAAATCAAAGCAACCTACCCCCCCTTAGCCCCTCTCCTGTTACCAATGCAGACGAAATATTTAAGCTTTGCGTGGCAGGTGCAAAATATGTTTATATCTTCAGCGAGCGGGCAGAGCATTGGTCACCAGGAAACAGGAAGTGGCAGGGATGACAGGCAAGCTGTTTCCAAAAGCTGATGATCTTCAAGGGAACTGTCGCTGGGAAGGGGCTGCCCAGCCAGGCACTGTATTTCCTGTCCCCTTGCACCAGGGTAGCCAGGTGACTAGATTCAGCAGGTGGAAGGCGGGTAGGATGTGTGCTCTTCCTCATTCTCCCCCACACAGGGCCTTTCCTCTGTGCTCCTGTCCTCTGCTCAGTAAAGCCTGCATCTCCCTGGCCAACCTGCGTGTCCTCTGCCAGGAAGTCTTCCAGGCTCTCACAGGCAGATCTCTCACCCCATGGGCACACTCACACCTCCATTAGCAGTGGCCTACCTGGACTGCAGTTACTCATCCATCTTCTCAATTCCCCTAAGTGCTCCACAGAGCAGGGCCCAATCTCATGCCCAAGCCTTGAGTCTTCTGAAGGGGCAATGGGTGGTTTCCTCAGAAACCAGAGCAAAGGCCTGGCCCCATGACCTGGAAGGCTGCCGGTTACACCAGCAAGCCAGCCTGGGGTGCAGCTCATGAGGGTCAAGGCCATGTTCCTTCCCCAGGGACTCTGGTCTCCCTTTCCCCACTCCTGCTCAGAGGTCCAGTTGCATCAGCTCACTCATGCCGCTGTCAGCCTGCTCTTGCTCAACCGGCCTTTCAGCGCCAAGCCCAGCCTTTTAGGGTTCCATCATGGCTTTGCTGCCACACCTTGGAGGTATTATAGCTCTAACGCACAGTTTAATTTACCGAGACGCCGTCACTGAGAAGGCTGGGGTCCGACCTCACGCTGCCTTCCCCAGAGATCACCACTTGACAACCTGTGACTAGCCCTCCTGGCTTCCAGGTGGCCAAGGTCACTGTGGAGGCCCAGAGCTCTGCAAGGATGTGGGTCTGTAACCTTTATCAGCTCACCCTGCCTGTCCCCCACGCGGGCCGGTGGAGGACTGACAACGTCTCTTCCAGTCAGGACTGGGGTCCCCGTCCTTACCAGCGCCCGCTCTATTAATGTGTCAATTTGGACTCCAGGACCATTTCTGAATGGGCAGAGCAAATGCTTAATGAAGTGCAGACACTGAGCAATACATCTGCTCATAATAATGTATTTAGAGATGTCACCCTCCGCTTAAAGGAAATCGTTTGGAGAGCAATTATGTTTCAAGAGAGAATAATTCCTGTGAAGAACTGAAATTTAAATCAAGATTTTTTAAGGCTGACAATGTTCTAATTACAGCGCCTATGGCAAGTTCTGCTCCTCAGTGAAGGGTCATTTCATTGGAGAATTGTCGACACATCGAGAAGCAGGAGGCGCACTTGCTTCAGCTGTTACAGAGGAAACGGTGTGTGTAGCAGTGAAAAAGCACAAGCGAGTTGAGTGATGCCTGAGAGAGAGAGAGAGAGAAGGGGGGGGGGGGCGCGGGGTGGAGAAGGCTGGCCTGGGAAGGACTGAGGTAATGTGAGTGAGTGGCTAAGAAAACCAGTAAGAGTTCAAAGTTCTATCTTCTCCACATGCTTCAAAGAAAGGGTGTGCCTGGGGGCAGGGGGCAGCGGGCCGGAGCTGCAGGGAGGGACTATGGCCTTGGGCACCCTGTTCCCTCTGTGTGAGTCCAATGGAGTGATATTTTGGGGTGCCAGTCCATCAGGCTTTATGATTCTCACAGCTCTCCAGCTTGGTGTGCAAAGTGTGAAGTACTGAAGACGGGGTCACAGCAGCTAGTGGCGAGGCTGGCCCTGCCGTGGGGAGGGTGGGTGTATGTGGGAACCAATTTTTAAGGGGGTTACAGAGAGTAACTCACAGGGGTCAAAGTAACACTTTCACACCAGTTATTCTTAAAATATCCCCCAAGGGAAACGGGCAGTGATAGGCCAGAGCCGGAAGCTGAACATCCTCTGTTCTGGGAGTGGTCACCAGGTGTGGTCACAGGCCCAGCTGAGGGAGTCGCTCCTGCTCTGCTGCTAGTTGCTTCGATTGGCTCTTCAGCCGTCAGGCTCACCTTGTGCCAGACCATGCTGAGGAGGCAGACCGGTCACACACTTCAGGGACCAAGGCAGACTCGGGGACCAGAGCTCATCTCTTGTGAACGCTGGAGTCTGTGGCCTGGGAGTCCTGGCAGAGGGTTAAAGGCCCAAGAGCTGACCCTCACATCCGAAGCCCCTCGCAGTCATGAGCCACTCCCCTGGGCTCAAGCACTGCACTCTTGTTCTGTGGACCTCAAGCTGCCCTTGTCCTTGCTGGACACTAGCCCTGGCCCCAGCAGACCTGTGGGGAGATCAACCAGATGAGCCACTTCTGGATCTCTGGTCCTGGATACTGGGGGTAGAAGCATACTCAGCTGCCCACCCATGAGGGCTTCTTGCAGGAGAGGACCCCAAAGTGGGCAGTCTCCTCCAGCTCCCCTTCCACTGCTGCCCCCAGCCCTCAGCCCTGCTCTCATGGGGTCCTAAGGGCCAACGTTTCCTGAGTGGCTGTGCTCCGAAGGGGAGATGTCTGGCCCCAGGTCACACAGCAATCAAGAGCAGCGAGGGTGGGCCTTTCCCAGAGCCCTCCTTCCTGACCTCAGCCCTCGGCGCTCCCAGGCAGGATGGTGGGCAAGAGGCACCCGCCTCTCAGGGCCGATGGCGCCTTCGAGAGCCGAGGCAGGCGTGGAAGGCACTCCCAGGGACGGGGGCTGGCAGGCCGGGAAAGGTGAGCGGGCTTTCTCTGAGACAACCTGTCAAAGCCTGGCTTATGCAAAGGTCAGGGAAAGCTCTGTCAACACAAACCCAGGAGACGTGTTGCAATAATAAATCCCTATCGGCTGTGCGTTCCCCACGAGGGTCCCCCACTAACAATAGAGCTAAAGACTTGGAAACGGCTGACAGGCATGGCCTTAATGACTTGGCACAGGGGCTGCCCATCCAGCACAGGGGTACAAACCACTTCCAGGGAAGTTGCCCAGTAACAGCATGGATAGGGCCACTGTAGCTGCCCTGGACAGAGGGTTTTTCAGAGCTAGCAGTAGCTGGGAGTCACCTCATGCTCTTGGGGTAACTTGGAGGAAACAGAGTGTGACATGAGGCTCAAGGCACACAGCAAAGAGGGGGTGGGGGGCTGCAGCTGTGGCCAGAACCAGAACCCGGGGCCAGGGGCCACACCTCTTCCCATCACCCCTTCCTTCCGGGAAGTCACGGGCCCTGGGGGCACTGGGACAGGCGTCAGTCCTGTCTCCTTTGATAGGACATCTTGTGAGAGCAAAGTCACAATTAGGGGTGTCTCTGGTGGGTGACCTGCCTAATGAGTCCTGTGAGGCTGGTGGAGGCCAGGGTGCCAGGGCTGTCAGAGCGTTCAGATCGCTCATTATCATCACAAAAAGCACCTCCTCATCACCAGGATTATCAAACGTGCCTGGCGCGTCAGGCCTAATAACAGGCCCCACCTCATCTCATAATCACGGGCTTTAATAAAACATCACTCAGCCTGCAGCTGCTGGCCCGAGCCTGGTACGAGGCCTCACCTCTTGCTTTTAGACCTAATTGCTTGATGCATATTTCATGAAGAATCCTGGGTAATAGTTATGTTAAATCACTTCTTTTCATGATGAAATGACTTAAAAATACTTGCATATAATATTTATGTGGGAGGAGGAAATTGCCCTTTGGGACTACAGGGTGTGGTGACCTGGTTGTAGGAACCCACACACAGCGTGATCTCTGGTTCACCTCTATGGAAAGTAGGGTGAGCAGCGGATTCGCCATAGAGAGGTCCCCCAGAACACCCCCCCATCTCAAATCTGCCCAGTGCTCCCCACTGCCCCTGCCGAGGGAAGGCCACGGCCATGTGCTAGCTGAGCCCCTCCCGCTAGGCGGGGAGCAGATGCCATGTGTTAGCCAGCGGAGCTCACGGCAAGGCAGCTAACTGGGCACAAGTGTCGTTGCTTACAGGTGGGGAAACGGAAGCTAAGGGACATTGTGGGCCTTGTCTCGTGGGATCCAGAGGGCTCAGGATTTGCATTTATACCTGACTCCAGAGCCTGTGTTCTCAGCCTGGCATTTGGGGCTCTGAAGCTACCGCTATGGCCTCACTTTCCCCTGTCCAGTCACTGAACCTGAAGGGGGCCAGTTATCCATGTGGGTCTCTGGATGTTTTCTGCCCAGGGGTAAGGCCTCCCTGCAGTCCTGCGAGCTCCTGGGTTCTGGAACCCTGCCTGTGATGTTTCTGAGCAGGCCATCTCACTCCTCTCTTGGTCCTGAGCATTATGCCTGGCACAAAGCACATAGCCAGTCACGTTGTCCATCCACCCACCAGCTCATTCCACCATCTAGCAGCTATCTGTGAAGGGCTGTCCTGAGGCAAAGGAAAAAGCCCCCTGCAGCCTCCGCTCTGGACTGCAAGCTCCCGAGGGCAGAAGCTACCTACTATGAGGCCAGACATAGGGGTGCCTGCAGAGGGTCAACCTACAAGGGGAGCACACAGGCAAGTGTCTTTCCAACCAGAAATAAGGACAGAAATAGAAATCTTGCCTAAGGGAGACCGGGGGGGGGGGGGTGAATGGAGAAGCCCCCTCTTTCCT